TTATTATTATTTAAAAACAAAATTAGAGATCCTGTGTGGGTTCTTTCGTTACTTTTGAAATAAGCATGAAATTTAAAACCTTGCATGGCTGTCTACTTGTGTAGGTGGTGCATTTCATAGGAGAAGCTACGTAATGTCAAAAGTTTCAAATGTCTGTGTACATTCGTGTCTGACGCAATAGTCCCAAACCTGAGCCCTTTGGCCCTGTTTTTACAGAGTCTACTTACAGACAGTGCCATTAATTCCGAAGATTAATGATGAGCGCAGTGTTTAATAATTATTTGAAAGTTTCATGAATCACATGTGTCTTTGGGTTTATCCAGCTCTAATGGGTACCTGACATTAGTTGGGGAAAAGTAAAGGCGTTGGTTGTTGTGCTGCTAAAATTAAAAGAAAACATTTATGTTTGTTTGTAAAAGTATTACATGTTTCGGATGTTCCTTCAGAGTTGAAGATAGTTACTTCCTAGTCCAAACCTCCCGCAGGACGACGGGGGATGGGAGCGGGCAGGGTTTGAACCCGGGACCATCGATAAATCTGAACGACAGTCCAAACCGCAAACCGCAAGTTCAGGCAGCCATCCAACCATGTTTGTTTATAAAGGCTAAGAATGCACTTTGTATGTAAATATCACGTACATTTTTAAAATGGACTTTTTATGCAGCGCCTTTCTTGACAAGCAGCGGCAAGACATGGTACTAATCAGTTCCCTCAAAATTTTTAAAATAATCACATTTTATTTACTTTTTGTTTAGTGCCCCCATCAGAATAATAAACGCTTATTTTGTGCGTTTTGTCTGTCGGTCGGTAAGTACGTCAGGTTTAGTTAAAAAAAACAAATCTAACAGCTATTGAAAATTTTGATTTAACTTTTAATGTTCCTTCCGAAACATCTCAACAGTTTTAAGTATCTATAATATATTTTTCCGGATGGTTTTGTGAAAAAAAAAGCAAAAAAAAAAAAAAGCGTATTTTCATCTTAAACAAATTTAAGTCAAATGACTTTATTTTTTTCAAAACATCGACAATAGGTTGTTCAAGAGTATAAAATAAGAAAGTCATTGACTAGAAACGATTATTGAAAATCACTTTTTAGACTTATTTTACAGTTAATTATAATTTAAATGAATAACGCACACCAAGAGTTGCGATAACATGGAAGCCAAAAACGAGGAAAGCGCAAACTTGGCGACACACCTTCATGGAGGACCTCAGAACAGTGGACACCAGGTGGGAGGAGGCTTCAGACATTGCCAGTGACAGATCTTTATGGAGACAGCTTGCCGCCCAATGCGCCGAACGGCGCTGGAGGACCTAAGTCGAAGTTTACATTTAATTTTCTTGCTGAAATCGAACAAAAGTTGTTTAAATCGGTAAAGAATGTTCCGATTTTGTTTAGAAAAATAAATCCACCTATATTACTTTAATTTTTTTACAAATCGTCGCCAAAAGTTTCCGAATTTTTTAATGAAAAATCTACTAACATCAAATAACTGTCTGAAATCCCTCTTCTAATAAATAAAACATATAATCTTCTTCTCATTTACAAAAATTGGTTGTTCCGGATTTTTTATGAAAAATATTTAACTCTAGTTATGTAAAATCTCACTACTATCTTACACTACATTTAATTTTCTAGCTAAAACGTTACAAAATCTAATTATCGTAAAAATTATGTTCCAATTTTTAAGGAAAACATATTCCTAACACCAAAGTATGGTATAAAAATCTAACCACAACGCTATGTACATCTAATTTTTATACGAGACCATCCAAAAAATTTAAATTATGGAAAATCACTCTTTTAGTTCTGCAAGTCGGACTAGAGTTACCCCACGTAACTTCTGCGCGAAAAGAAAAGAGAGAGGGAGAGGGGGGAGAGAACAAGTAGTATTCACCCGTCACTTAACAGCAGGGCCGGGCTTAACCATTGCGGGGCCCTATGCAAAACGCATTGCGCAGGGCCCTATGCAAAACGCATTGCGCAGGGCCCAGTTTGAGTAGGGATACGGATAATAAATGAAAATTAAGAGTTTGTATTAGAAAATAAATACGTCTTTGCTTTTTATTCAGTATTTACTACATACGAGCCTTATTTGTAGCGAAGTCATACATTATATCATAAAATTTCTGCCTCCTACATAGATCACGATCAGTAACAAGAATTACGAAATGTTTCAATCTATCTTCGAGAATTATTGACCTCAAGTCATTCTTCATTAGTTTCAGGCGCGAGCAGCTATTTTCACCAGATTCATAAAGTACACAACAACTACGTTCACCAGACGATGCAGCATTGTCCCCATTCTATCTGTTTCTTTCTGCTTCTGATGAGCACATCAATTTTCAATCAAGCCTTGACATGGTTCCCATTGCCTCACCTATCCTGTTGTAGATGTCCTTATCCAGTGGTACTTCATGATCTATCCATCATCTGCCACATAGGCTGCAATGTCTGATAGGGGAACTTTTTTATTCTTTTTTTTTTTTTTACTTACAATTAACAAGCTATTTGCGGCCACAGCATATACTTTATGGAAGAGAAAACACAGACACACACACTATTGTATTGTAACTCTGCCTTGCAAAGGCGCTAATAGGGCGCAACAGTGCACTATATGACATGGTACATAGACTGTTGGATAGAGATACACTTTACTTCCGCCAGGTATGGCAGCTGAAAGGAAAACTGTAGATAATGAAAGAGAGTTGTCAAATTGGTTTGAGTGTTTAAAACGATATTAAAACTGAGATGTGCCGATCGTTATATCTAGTGTTCATCGTTTAGAATATAAAAGAAATCTAAAACTTTGATTTGGTATTATAGTTCTGCGACAGTTCCCGCAAAGTCTATTGAAAAGTATTTACGAATTTCATTTTTTTTTAAATGAAAAAAAAAAAAGTACCAAATATCTACATAATCAGGATATCTCTGAAATCCATAAGTTGAACTTTCACATTTCAAGGGAGAGTAGTGAGCTTTATTTATGTCGAGATAAGTTCAAAACATTATTTCCCCTATTAGTGTGGATTTGTTTTGATCTTGAAAGGGAAAGGGCTAATAATTTGAGTTGTACGCCTGTCCGTCCGTCACTATGACATTTAGAACTAAAAAAAGATTTCACGATATTTTGTAGCGTACTAAAATCACATGCAGTGAATATTTTTTTGTCTTCTAAAAACAAACCTTTTTTATATAAATTAGATATTCTAACCTTTTTTTTTTTTCATACAAAAAATAACCGTTTTTAAAGCCTTTATAGTGTGCGAAATTGTAAAAATTACCCTAAATATGCACCTCCCCAACACTCCCATCCACCATTAGAAGACAATCATTCTACTACTGTTAGAACGTATACTCTTTCTGTCTCGGAAGGCAATGTATGCGCCTAGTTGAGTCACAGGTTTTGGGTTTAGTCTTGAGAATCTGGTGTGGCTAATCAAGCCAATTCTAGAGCTGCAGACTTTGACACAATTTGTGCATGTGTTTGCATCTGATTAAGGGCTAGCGGACAGGGCTGGTGGACAGGGCTGGTGGACAGGGCTGGTGGACAGGGCGCGGCTTTCTTTTGTTTCTCTCTTGATTAAGGCACTTCGTTTCTTTTGCACTCAGCGAGGATCGTCCCAGCACGTCACAGTCTGTCTCCATGCACGTCACAGTCTGTCTCCATGCACGTCACAGTCTGTCTCCATGCACTCCGGACTTTGGCTATTTCTTCCCACATACTTTCGTTGATGTCAGTGTGGTCCCTCCAAGAGATGCGCATTATGTGTCTCAGGCAGTGCAAGTAAAAACTATTCAATCTGTGCTCTTGGGGACATGTATGTTGACCAGCTTTCGCTGCCATAAAGAAGAGTGCTCACAACACAGGCGTTGTAGACTAGGATTTTGGTTGCTGTGGTCAATTTGGCATTTTCCCAGACGCGCTAAGAGAGAGTTTTGTCAATGCTGTATTAGCTTTACCTATTCTTTTTGTCAGCTCAATGTCTACATCTAGGTTACTGGCAAGTGTTGATCCCAAGTAGGTAAATTTCTGCACCACCGTAAAGGTATGGTTCTTAATATGTATCACAGGTATTTCTGCGACGTCTGGTGCCAGGATTTCGGTCTTGGAGAGACTTATTGTAAGGCTAAACTCTTGACAAGCAGCTGCCAAGGCATTCACTAGCTTCCGTAGACCTTCTTGTGAATGAAATATGAGTGCCGCGTCATCGGCGAACTGTGTTTCCCAAACTTTTTCCTTAACGGAACACTTCGCACATACTGAGTTTTCAGCGGAACACTTTACTTAGTTTTTAGAGCGATTACTTCACGCGCTGGCCTACTAGTTAATTATTCAGGTAGTTCGTGAAATATCAATTCAAAGTTTGGGAGTCACTTATATATAGTAATATTAGTTGTTAAAATAAGCTACAAATATATAACTGAACTAGCAATACATACTGGCTACGCCAGTTGATTTGTTTCCCAGACGGCTTTATCTTGTTTATTATGGCCGGAACACCCCCCCCCCCCCTTTTCTTTTCTTTATTTGAATATATTATAGGGGATATATTTTAACGATCGACTAATTAGTGTATGTGATACAATGAAATTTCCGACCCGCTCTCTCTTTCCTTCTCTCTTTCTATCTCTCTTTTGCTCTCTCCGGTTCCCACTCGTTTTTTAACCTGCGCATCGTAATTTCGCCGACAATAGATTTTTGACTTGATTTGGAAAGACCCGCTTCATAATGTGACCCGGTCACAAACACGCACTCATATTTTGGGCCCGTTAATTCGAGTATGACTTATCCGCTCCCCCCCCCCCCCCTTTCCCCCTTCCCTGTGCTTACTGAGTACCTAAAGGCAGCAGGGAAAAACCTTCTCCCAGATACTTCCTCCCCCACTGGTCCACAACTGAGATTGGACCATAGCGCTCTGAGCATGCTATAAGCATGAAAGAAACGCTGTGTAAAAGCTATAAAAAATAAATAAAATAAATAAAAAAATAGCTATAAAAATGTTATATAGAAAATATTTTAATTCATCATTCCAGATTAAAATGTATGTATTATTTATCAAAAGAAATATAATAAGGCTATATAAATGTTCTAGTGTATATGTGAACAACTGCGTGTGGGTATATCAGAACGTCAATTAAACCTACAAATAAGGACAAGTCTTCGTTCCAGTACCACCTTATTTCATTCACTAGCGAAACATTCAAACATCATAATAATAAAATTCTGTACATGCATAATGTGTAATATATATATATATATATATATATATATATATATATAGTGTAATATAAATACATTGGCGGCATATGTTAAAAAGTTAAAAAAAAAATAGGTGAACTTTAGAAGTACTACAATGTTGTAATATTAAAATTTATATCTATATATCTATATTTATTTCAATATGTCTCTATATCTATATCTATATATATATATACATACGTATGTATGTGTGTGTGTGTGTGTGTAAATATAGACAATTGGTTCAAACATAAAAACTGCTACTAGATTATTAAAAGGAAACAAATATTTTTCATTATACATAACATGTTCATATGAGCTCTCTTTTTTTTAAAAATATAATATCCTATGTTGTCATTAGCTGGGTCATTTCCGTATATTACAATGTACATATATTGTATGTCATGATATGAACAGTACATGAAATGTCTGTTCAAACGATAACATGATATGTCTGTTAAATCAATAAGACGACGTGGGCGAGGTCATTGAACATAATACTGAACCACATTACATTTTATGCTCTTTACAACTCCCTTTAAATTACACATGAAATCTCACCACGACAGAAGACGCTCTATACAACTTCCATATTGCAAATTTTTTTTTTTTACGAGAAACTTAACAATGCCAAGAAACCAAAATTGAGTTTCGCAATTGCAAACTAAATTTTAAAGTTACAAAGAGAAGAGCTTACGAAACGTCATTCTACAGTGCTAAAATGTACCCACAATTAATCACGTACGTAAAAAACAAAGTTTATTACTTCCTTTTTTTTTTTAGTACACCGGATACACCAAAAAGCTTGCTATATTTTAGGTTTTCCGCCATGTTAGAAAATCTCAAATAAAACACTAAACACCATATTGCACCTGCGAGTTGCAGTCTTGGAAAACAAACTAGTATTCGCAGCAAAAGAAAATGCCTGACATTCATTCGGTGTTTTATCTGAGGTATAAAATATGTAGATGAGAATTCCATGAAGTTGATTTTTTTTGTGTGTTATTTTTATGATGTCCCTTGATGTTGTCAGTTGATGTAGTCAGTTTCCAAGTTAATTTGTCTTTTCCCTGGCAAAAAAAAAAAAAAATTATAAATATAAATATATAAAATAAAAAGGGAGAAGAAGTCCTTATTAAATGTTAACCACTTATATAATACAGACTTTACTTCAAAAAAGAAGATGATTATGTCCTACGCGTCATGCATTCAGTCATGCATATTAACCAATGACTTAATTCTGCCAAGTCACTGGTTTTCATGGCTAGCTCAGGCAACCCATTCCATGCTTTAATAGCACTAGGGAAGAAGGAGTATTTGTCCTAGCATATGGGACGAGGAATGTGCCTTTATTTTTGTGTTTTTCTGAGTATTTTATTAAATTTTGTTTTTGTATTTGAAGATTATGGTTCAGTGTTTTATGTATAATCAATGTTTTATTAGTTAGTTACCTTAAAATCAATTATCCCTTTTATTGTGTCAACATCATTGTTTCATTTCGACCACGGGCGGACAATAGTAATGCTTGCCTAGGATGTGGCAAAATATGTATGTCAAAGCTGGGGCTGCGTAGCCACGGGAAATACAGCATTCCTCATTAATCTTAATTTTTCATTTCTTTTTGAACACTATTAAAACCCACACAGACATTACAATGAGAGTGCTATAACAATGATTACGTCACAAACTCTGATGTTATTACCAAAGCACCATAATGATTGTTCCATTACTTACTATGAAATTCTGGCTTATCGAAGGTAGGGTTGAAGAATTGGGGTGGTGGCTGTCTTGGGGTATTGTTGAGACGTCGTTTTCTGACAATACAAACAGTGACGATGATGACAGCCGCTAGAAGCAGGACACCCAAACCTACGCCGACACCGACACCTACTTTCATGCCTACATCTGTATAAAAACATTTGCAATTCAAACAGGAGCGATAACAACTGTGTTTTATTTAGTTCTGGAGGCAAAAAAAAAAGCTTATTTGAATTTAATATTGCGATTCAAAAATAAGTCTATTCTTGTGTACATGACTTAATTAAAATGCTTCTGCTGGACTTGTAAATTCCTATTTGAGAATACAGATATTGGACAAGACATATGGCATGGCAGTGCCCACATGGTTATGACGTCGCAGGCCTGCTAAAACGATTGGGCTCGGTACAGCAAGTTTAAACTATACGATAAAACATAAGCTTTATGTGCCTACTGAACATTAACAAGCAAAATACAAATAAATTCATTTAAAAAAAAAATCTTATATTAATATATATCAATTAGTTAGGATCAGTCATGTAATTAAATTTTCAATGGATCTAGACTAACAATAATAAATCTGTGACAAATTTTTTTTTCCAATTATTTTTGTTTACGCGCAGTTTCATGCTTTTAGCGTTCTCAATACGCTATGATCTTATCCACTGTCTGGGCAAGTTGAGAAGGAGGAGAAAAAACGGGGTATCTGGGTGATCGCTTTATAAATGTTTTTTTTTTAAAGGGGAATGACCTGAATTTAAACTTGTGGGCTAAAGCCTTCTCAGGCTTCTCAAGCCACTCTGCTAGCGTAGAGTCTATAAACATTGAATTTATTGTTTATATTATATATTTGTGTTTACTAAGCCATAGACGGCTGCCCAATATAAATGGGATTAATTCAGTAATTTATTACAAATAGTTAATCAATTAATCGGTTAATTTTCAATTGTGTTGTCAGGTAAAAGAAATAATTGTGAAAATTTTCAGCTTGAACCAAATTTGGGTGTCGGAGAAATAACGTGTACAAACTTGTGGCCAGACTGACAGACACACAGACAGACACGCAGATTGTGGTGATATAAGCTTTATAAAAAATATGTAATTTGTTGTTTTTGCTTTTGTTTTATTAATATCCTAATTGTTAGCTTTTACTCTCTTCGTGGGGGGAGTGAAAACAAAGTTGGAAGAGAAATGTCCCTAGACATTTTATTTTCATCTTTTGTCCAATCAAAATCAAAAGCTAGAGGTTTATTAATTGTTCAGTATATGGACCAAACTAGGGAGGGGGGGGGGGTATTAATTGCTCAGTATCATTTAGCTTAGCATTAAACGATGCATACGTCTTTTTATCAATAAAACAGTTCCCAATAGCATCAAAGAACATTTTTGTGGGGGACAAATTACGTCACACGGCAATAGCGGGAATTCCCGCACTCGACTCAAATGTTTCTTTATCTCAAATAAGGAGTCGATTACATAATAAATAAAAGTATATGAACATTATGCGCACAGTCTTGACGTTTTTGGTTCAGTTTCAGTTTTCATTGTTCTGCTTATGAACAGCGAATGTAATCTTCAAGAATTGGTTTTTTTTTAAAGTTAACTCTGATGGTGTTTTTTTTTTTTGCATTGTGACTTGCATACTTAGTAGAAGTTTGACTTTCCAAACTAAACTTAACGTTTCACAGCACTGTAAAAGAAAATAGATAATCACCATCGGAAGGGTGCCATATTGTTTCCTCTTTGATGACATTGAACTTGATGTCCACCATTCCAGCCTCGTTCTTGATGTTCAGATTGTACGTTTTGGTTTCTTTTGTATTGGCGTCGTAGATGGTCACGTTGACCCTTCCGAAAGGCGGGGTCAGCTTTGTATACGTGACTTCATGATGCACTGAAAGGTTCTGGAAGACATTGTCTTTCTCTACTTTGAGAACGAACTGCGTGGGTGCAGGGTAGCCATAGATTATTACGGTAAACACGGTGTTGGTGTCAACAGAAATACGAACCACTTTAGACTCGTTCTCGTACTTGGCCTCAGATGGAAGCAAACGAGGTTTACCTGACAACATTGAAGATGACAAAAACAGCATATCTATCTATCTATCTATTTATCTATCTATCTATCTATTTATCTATCTATTTACCTATCTATATATCTATCTATCTATATATATATATATATCTTTCTATCTATCAGTCTATCTATTTATTAATCTATCTATTCATCTATCTATCATCTATCAGTCTATCTATCTATCTATGTATCTATCTATCAATCTATCTATCTATCTATCTATGTATCTATCTATCTATTTATCTATCTATCTATATCTTTATATCTATCAATCTATCAATGTATCTATGTATCTATCTATCACCCACATGTTACATTGATGTCCACGTAGTCGGCTTCAAAACTGGATGTATTCTCGCGGCCATTTCGTCCATAGCAGAAGTAGCGACCAGAGTCCTCACAACTCACGCTAGTCAGGCTGGAGGAAACAATGTGGCTGCTGTTGCTCAGGTCGTGTATTTTGCTTAGGAAGCTACCATTCAAGTAGGCAGTTGGTGTCGGGATGCCATCCACCTCACAAAAAAAGTCAGCGTTGTCATCGTCCCTCAGATAGACAGACTTCTGACCATTGACTGTGAAGTTGACCACCCTGGGAGGTTCTGTTAGACCATAATAAACGAAATATGAAATAAATTAACTACTAAAAAATATTCAACAGCCTGAAATGAAATAGAAATTGTTAAAATCCAGTGTGCAGGTCTGAAATCTGAAAGGAACATTTTGTAACCATTCATTGCTTTTTTTATGAGAAGAAATTGTCTTTTGAAAATAGACTTCATAATGTGTGAGTCAGTTATCAATGAGTTGATTGATACACTTTTTTAAAAGCAATATATGATTTTATTAATCAATTAGTAGTACAGTTCAACTGGACATCACATTGTAGACTTAACAAACAAAATATCACAAAACAGACTTAACAAACAAAACTTATCACTACAGACAAAACAAACATGACAGTACAAAAATATTTAGTCAAATCTTTTTCTTATTTTCAGAATATGTTCTTTATTTCAATTATTGTGTACAAGATCAGATTATAAGCAGATACTTTTTTTTCTGGAGAATTAACAATTTTATGAATGGCATTATGATTGGAATTTCTTTTTATTTAGTCAGAAACTAAATATTGAAACTTATGAATACTTCATTTCTCCATAAGGTGTATGTTAAAAAACATAAAAATGTGTCTTTAATTAGAGGGGATTAACTCTATCTACAATCAGCTAGCTTTTTGCTGTGTGATAATTATCTATACAGTTGTCAAATCAAATTTTTTTTTAATTTAAACATTGCTTGTTGTCGTTTTAAAGTGTCAGCACTTAATAAAATCTCTCAAATTCATGTCTGTATTCAGATTTTAAAATGAATACATCTTTTCGAGGTAGTGAATTATAATATTTTTTAAAAGTTCTTTTACCATTTGGTTTTCAAGAGTAATCTACCTTTGATTAAATTGATTGCATAACACTCAATTGCTAATCCTCCAGGATTTTGAACTCAAGAGGCAAGTTGCTTTTTGATCATTGTTTTATTCACAGAAGGTCATACAATAGATTATATTGATCTCATCTAATAATCAAATGCTAGTCATTGCAACTTGGAATAAGCACACCTTTTTTGAGTGGGGGATGGGAACGTAAATGTGCCATTTGATGTTCATTCACGAGGGAGTATAGTAGAATTTATGTAAGAATTCGTGTTAAAGATTTGTTGTGGACTTTGTGACTTTGTGGTAGACTTATTTGGTAGACTTAATGATAGAGAATGTTGTAGGCTTTATGATGGAAAATGTAGTAGGCTTTTGGATAGACATTATGATATAGAATGTAGTAGACTTTTTGGTAGGCTTTATGATAGAGATTGGGATAATCCTAATGATAGAGAATGTGGTAGATTTTTTGTTAGCTTTAATGATAGAAATTGTGGTAAACTTTATGATTGAGAATATGGTTAACTATTTGGAAGCCTTAATAATAGAGAATGTGGTAGACTTTTTGTGTAGACTTATAGGACGTAATCATCTTCTTTTTTGAAGTAACGTCTGTATTATATAAGATAAGATAAGAATATAAGATAGAGAATTTTGTAGACTTTTTTTTTCACAGACTTCATGATAGAGTGAGAGAGTTTCGGATAGAATAGGCCCTGGACATAGTCCCACAGCGACACGTTGAAGTAGATAGACTGTCACTCTCTTAGGGATGCAAAGGGACCAGACAATGTGTCCAGACAATAAAAACCTGCCTATTTAAATGCCACTTGGAACCGTTTGATTTCAGAATAGTGTTGTTTTTTGTAAATCAATGATGCAAAGGTGTGCTTACAGGAATGAACAAGGTCTATATTTATGCTTGGAGGCTGTGAATGACATTAGCACTAAGTGAACTGTCCACAATAAAAACAACGGCAATAAATTTAAAGATAATTCGTTGTTTTTTTTTGGTTTAAATTTCAATAGAATTTTTGTTCTCCTAAAAGCCTATTTTGAAATTTTGAGTGTTAAAATGATTTCTTTCGTAAAATAAAGGGATTGAGATTCTCGATTACTGAAGAGCTGCACAATAAAAACTAAATAATGTCAAGGATGCTAGACTAAACAATGTCAACGACGCGAAACTCAACTTCAATAAACTGACATCTAAATGAAGGCTACAGACGTAAGAGCATTAAACATTTGAATTGGCAGCGCTAGAAAGTGAACACACGAAATCCTGTATATAACAAAAAAAAAAAAAAACCACATAGCTCATCAACATTTTATCCTGTACACCGGATACTCCAAAAAGTTAGCTATTTATGGATCGGCCTCCATGTAGAAAATCCCTAGGAAAGACTATCCCAGAATTTGAAAATAAAGCTAGAAGAATAAACAACGTCTTGATAATGTCTGAAACTAATGGTATGTAGCTTTACATCAAGGAAATGAATACCGTAACAATGTCATTTAAAATTAGATTTAACTGATACATGTTATCAGAAAAACATCTCGCCGTTAAAAAAAGTATGCAGAGTAACTTCAAGTAAATAAATATAGACCTTTTTAAATAGGTTAAACATAGGTTAGATGACATATCTAATTCAAATGCTGTCCAATCCTTGAGCAACCAGAAAAAGTTTTTGACAGTACAAAATAACTGTACATGACTTAATAATATCCTCTTGTACAGTTCTAATACGCGATAATGTGCCACGGAATAGTTTTCAAGTTCTAGAAATCTGCAAAATAAAATATTAGTTTATTTTTTTATTTTTTTTGTGTCTTACATGAAGTCTTTGTGATTTTGCTCCTTTCGAAAAAAAAAATGTAAAAAAAAAATAATTACAAATAAAACAATAAGACTCGTAAAAAATTCCGTGTTTTATGTCTTTATCTTTTAAACAAATATTTAATTTGAGAAAACCATAATAGGGAAAGATTGTCTTCAATATAAATCATTATAAATCATCATAGCAAAAGCTCTCGTAAACGGCACTACCATTCACTACAGGTTGGCTAAAAGTAAAGCTAACGAGCTTGTTTAGTAGATAGAATATACATTTGAAGTCGCTTGCGCTAATCAAATATATATATAATTCCTACACTATAGGCATGAACAATTTCTAAGAGCTCAAGGAAGTGTTATTGCGTAGTTCTTGTTGCTGAGTTGATCCGTTGCTTCAGTTTGTTTCTTCGATGATTGTAGATCTTCTTGCCGGAACTGAGGCAGATACCAGGAGGATCTTCTATCAAGAGGCACAGTGTCTGCATTAAGATTTTACTTGGCTTTTTTCACCTGAAAATAAAATTAAAAAAAAAGACCACCCAACACCCCACACTTACTACTAGTAGCTCAAAACCATTATTATACATTTCTAAGGGATATAACCAGACTTATGTTAACTTTGTGGGTAATTAATTCTCTTGCTGTTGGTATGTGACTTTTTAGTTTCAATAATCTTACACATATAGCGATCAAGGCCATGGAGGTTTGTTCTGTTGATTTTCCTGCTGTGTTATTTTGTGTTTCACTGTTGTATAAAGCGTTAAGGATACATGTACAAATTTGTTTGGGGGGGGGGGGCGGGGTAATTTATACTTTGTTTAGGTTCGAACCTAACAACCACCCTCCTTTTTTTAAATACTACAGCCCAACCTTTTAAACCTGATCTTAGGCTGCACACTTTTTATTAAACATCATTCTTTTCAATGCTCTGAGTTAGTCTCCCTCTCTCCCTCTCTCTCATATCCCGCACACAGAAGTTAACTAATTTTCATACGTATTTCCGTTGAAGGCAATCCTCTTTCAAATCATACTTCTCGTTTGTCATCAAATACTTATACATTTAGCAACCAATCAGCTTTGACCATGTGTTCACGTGATACTTACTTTTATCTGTCTTCGTATTGCACTCACCCCAAGGTGTCAATCTCTCGACAATTTCAACTCACGGGTCTCTCTCTGGCAGTCTCCTCTAATCCTCACATCTTCCACTGGCTTCATTCATTGACTTGCTTCCTCTATTTCACCATTCAGTGAAGGTTGATAATCTGATCATATTAATTATGTATTTACATCAAATATAAACTAGGCCTATCATTAATGTAATTTTTAATGAGATAAAAATTACTAAAGAATTATAAGAGAAACTCGTAGGTGGCCCTTGGCTAGTACATTAGTTTGGCTATTTTATTTCATGTATTTATTCATCGCTCTATTTATTGTGTTGCGATGCCAGTTCTGTGACATAAAGACACAATCAATCTAATGATCTTCCGAAGGCGTAACAATCCTGTCTGAATGCACTACAACATCCACTTTGGTTGACATTGTGCATTCATTTCACGCTCAAGAGAAAACTCATCCCGTGTACTGACGAAGTTATAAACACAACGAACACTTAAATAATGGGATCATTCTGGATATACACAAGGTATTTAATAGATACAAAATTTATTTTCAAAGGAACATTTTTACATCGTGCAACCGTTTGGTCTTGAAAAGGCTGGTACAAACGTGATAATGTGTCTCAAATGTGTATATGTCTTTGGTGTTTGATACATATAAGGGAGAGAAGTTGAAAAATATCTTCATGATATATTTTTATCTAATAACTCTTTTTTTTAAAACCATTATTTATTTAATACCTTGTTTCCTTACTTTCGTGCGCCCTGGAGACATGTTTCTCTACTGCTATAAGCACTTGACAAATACCAATGCTGCAGTCGCGGCCTAGTCACACCACCATCATGCTATTTGTTGTAGCACACACCTCGCTGGTTTGCTTTCTCCGTGCATTCGCTTTGAATCGAACATTCTGGTAGAGCAGAAATAAAAAAGTGTATTGCTAAAAAGGGACAATCCAAAACAAAAGATTACCTGCAAGGTCTGACACGCAAGTTACAGTACTAAGTGCAAGTCCAGCTTATCCAGATAACTCTTCTCAGCCTCATTGTGGCGCCGGATGGTCTTTAAAGGAGACGATCAGGACGCAAAACTGACCCCCCCCCCCCACCCCCTTCCCCCGTTGGATTCCTTTAGAACCGAGCTCTTGGCAGTGGCGGGAATGGAAGAGTCTCCAAGTCACTATCCATAGACCGTTCATGAAGAGGCCGTTAAATGGCTGACAGAGAAGGAGAATCACATAGTCCTGCTGCTTAACTAGGCCTACACCAGTGTAAAAAAAAAAAAAAAATTGCTATCATTCACCCCCTACTCGGCTTAAACAACGTAGGAGTGAAACAGTGCGCTTATGGTTGTCGTCAGAAGGGCGGAGTTCCACAGAAAGAGAGAGAAAAGAGAGAGAGGAGAGAGAGAGGAGAGAAGGAGAGAAAAGTAAGAAAGATGGAGAAAGAGAGGGAGAAACAGAGAAGAAGAGAAAGAGAAGAAAGACAGAAAATGTGACTTGAAAATTTTAAGTATCGGAAAGTATTCAGGGTATACAATGTATTTTTTATAACCAAAAAATTCGTTTTATATCTACAAGATATATTAGATCTATATGCCTTACATTAAGTCTAATTATCTACAAGATATATTAGATCTATATGCCTTACATCAAGTCTAATTATCTACAAGATATATTAGATCTATATGCCTTACATTAAGTCTAATTATCTACAAGATATATTAGATCTATATGCCTTACATCAAGTCTAATTATCTACAAGATATATTAGATCTATATGCCTTACATCAAGTTTAATTATCTGCAAGATATATTAGATCTATATGCCTTACATCAAGTCTAATTATCTACAAGATATGTTAGATCTATATGCCTTAAATCAAGTCTAATTGTCTCAGTAACTTACCTAAGGGGGGGAGGCGGGGAGAATTTTAAAATCCCCCCGGGCCCCCACCTGGGGGCGCCCCCAAATGGGTGTCCGAAATTTATTTGTAGATACATAAATTAAGATATTTGATTGACAAATAGTGTCAACGGGTGTCTTTTTTTTTTTCAACATTTATGGATTAAATTTATCACAAGGACTAAACCTAGATCTAGGTCTATCAGTACGTTGACTTTGTTGACTTTTAAAAATATTTTTCCCTCCGAGATCAAAGTTTTTTATAAAGTTAGCTCTATATTTTAAACTTTGTTGCCACGAATAAAACTGCATGATATACAGCCAATTCCAGGTATCTGGTTACCTTTACTAGTAATAGATATAAATGGTGAGTATTTTATGGCTACACTAATTAACTTTGAAGCAAAATTTACAGAATCGAGTATAACAGATCCAAAAGTTATTCTTAATAATGCTAGAATAGTCCATTATTCGGGTTTGGCGTCTATAATTTCAGAATTAAACTTCACATTCGAGTTATTACCCCTCTATTCATCTTTCCTCAATCCAATGGAAACTCTATTTTTATTTCCATCTAATCCTTTTGCTTTCGCACAAAACATAAACAACAAACAATGACGTAATATTATATAATATTAGCACATCCTTCCTTTTGAAGTTATTATCACACCCTTCCTTTTAAAGTTCTTAAGAGTGATATCTACTAGCAGGGCCGGCCCTAGCATTTGCGGGGCCCTTTGCGAAATGGATCGCGCGAGGCCTAGTCTGTGTAGGGATAAGCATAATGTCAAAATATTTTTTTGTTTTGAATTAGAAAATAGGCCTACTTTCGTCTTTGCAATAAATTTTTATCAAATGAAAGCTCGCAATGCCACTTTTTATTTATTGGCACCCCATAATGTCAATTTCGTCTATTCTTCAGGACATTTGAATAAATTTTTAAAAAGTTCAGGACTTTATCGTATATTTTGCCTTTTCATGAGATTTCCTGGAGGCTGTAGAAAATCAGGAGGTCTCGAAAATCCTTTTATTTTATATACGTTATAATGGTTTAATTTAATAATGTGCACTTAGAATTAGCGCGGGCCCACTGCCACCGCATAGGCTGCAGTGGCCTAGGGCCGGCCCTGTCTACTAGGAACTTTAACCATTTGTCCACTTCTGGTTGTCTTGACTGGCACAACAAGTTCTCTAGACGTTGGTCTATAACTGTCTGTTTCGTTTGTTCCAACAGTTTGCAGTTCATTGTCTTCATCTGTATCATAGTACCCAGAGATGTCTTCGTCGAAGCTCTTGTTCAAAAAGCGTTGATTTCTTCTGTATGTTTTTCCATCGTTTGTCTTTATGATCTAAGATCTGGGTGCTGTTTTTTTTATGACAACTGCTTTCAGCCAAGTTTGACCTAGACGAACTCTCCGACAGATAAATCTTTAGGTAGTCTTGTTGCATCGTATGTCACGTTGCTTTTCATCTGTCGTTCGTTGAGTAATGTCTCTGTATTTTCAGCTACCGATGGTTTCAATAGTTTGGGATCAGTTGGAATGATTCCCTGAGTCTTCTACTCGTCAGCAGTTGTGATGGTGAATATGGCAGTCCGCTTATCGGAGTATTTCTATACTCGAGCATAACGAAATATGGATCTTTCCCACTTTTGTATGCTTTGAATACTTTTGCTTTCGCACAAAATATAAACAACCAACAATGACGTACTATCATATAATATTAGCACAGAATCTTCTTCATGCAGTGGAAAATTAAGAATTTGTTGCCTATCTGGAATCCTGGTCAAAGCTGCTGCGCCCAATTAATATAGTTCAGAAGAAACTACAAAAGTCTGGACTGCATTTACGGGAAGCTGCTGAAGAAATTAGTACCTTTTCATGCTTTCTGAAAAATGATGAGAAACTGACAAAAACCCAATCCATCGAAAAAGCTAAAGAAGGTAGTGAATACTATGGATTCCCTGTAATCAAAATAACCAGAAGAAAAACAAGACTTGATGGGAAGTTGAGTTCTAATGTAGGACTGTCAATAGAACTGCAATCGTGTTGCGACAGAAGTGCTGGACAGATTTCATATGGAGATGAAGGGCCAATTCCAAAGGCTGGGACAAAAATGGATACCTTTGGGTTTCTTCTTGAACCAAGACACCTGTTAGATGAAGACACGCTTATGACAAACTGTGCTACTTTTCCTGTTTGTATGATGAAATAAATGGCAAATCGCTTTTTCAATGATGTCATTGATGCACGAGCACTTTTCAACAACAAACCAGTAATACAATCACCAATAGACATTGAGGAAACAGGCTTCATCTGGGAATTACGTGTGTGTGACGATACGTAAACCCTTGCATATAAAAGTTTCATTTGTGCTTAAACGCTTGAGAGAAAAGTTAGATCTAATTGACATAATAAATTCAACACCCAAATAATAGTTACAACATATAGTGTCTCGACTTATTAAATTAGAATAGTATGGTGAAAACAGTAGGAGGCGGAAAGCCAGTCCGAATTCCCCCCCCCCCCCCCCCCCCCCAGGTCCCACCGCCCTTGGTATGGGATGAGTCACCGGATCGCTTGATATGGAAGGGACGAAAACTTTCCGATATGACTCATACCAGGACAGCGGGTTAAGGGTCAGTAGGTCACCATTCCTCGACCAGTCCCGCGTTGGACTGCGGTCGTTATGCTACACATACACAAAAACAGGTGTGGGCACACATCGGTTTGGGACGGCGGTAATTTTAGAAATTTAGTAACTTTAATCCCA